AATCAGATCAGTCTTTTCTCACGCAAAGCTAATGATTAGTTGATTAAAATGACTGGAAAAAAATTTTGGGGTGCCCGAGCTCGTTAGTGAGCTATAGCCATTTTTCAACTGACAGAACTCAATATCAAGGCAAATCCGCCATGTTTCCAATGTGCGCGTGCACGAACACACGCTAATGACGCCATAAATTATGTGCAGTAACGATGCGTAATGTAATACTGGGGAATGACCTTAATCTGCCCGTTTCTGGCTGTAAGCCTACATCTGAGAAAAGGTACAGCATTTTGGGGGGTGAAGTATCGTTAATTATTGGCTTAGGTTTGTCCAAAAGATTTGTTTTGCCCCATTTTAGAATTTTTTGCAGGTAGGAGGGAGTATGAAATTATGATGTCATCCGCACCAGACTGAGCTCTTGAGCTAGATTTCTCAAACTGATCTTTTCTGTAAACGGAAAGAAAGTCAAAACAGGTAAATGTATGAAGCGAAGCAAAGTGAAGTGAAGTAAAGTAATCTTTACTTTTACAGGGTGGCCCATTCAGCTTGAAGGTTGGTATCCATAGGGACCCTGTGAAGAGTTGTGGCAGGCAGGCAGTATGAGACAAGACCTTTCAGTCTAGAAGCCCTATGAGAAAAGACTGGCTCCCAGCAGGCTGCACATGATCTATACACTGTAAACCTTCACCCCCACGGGAAGGGGGGGGGAACTCCCATGTGAAAAGGTCAGACCGCTTGCATCTAGCGTAGAGATGTAGACAACGAATGTTGGTCTTACTTTGGGTGTTCAGGACATAATGCCACTACTTTGAGCTGTCAAAGTAGGAATAAGAAAATGCTGTCAGTTTTATTTTAAGTGGTATCTTTTAAATCGTGAGCCACGCCCACATTAGTCTCCTGATAAGGGGTTTTCAAATGTTCTGACGATCTTCCCTGACCTTCTCATGAGGGAGTTCCCCTCAGGGACTGTAACTCATTACAGGAAACACCAGCCACAGAAACTTAGTATTTGACAACAGCTGAAAAACATGACTCAGTTGGAAAAGCAAACATTTGCTTTTTTAAAATGCTGGTCACACAAGGCCCACTCTCATTAGCTGCATCATCACTTTGCACAAGACAATGCAAGCAGTTTTGTTCTTTAATATTAAACAAAATTAATCCTACAGACAAAGTTTATCCTTCAGCACAGTATCGTACATACACACTGAAATTTAAGTGTTTTGGTGGGTAACAATATTACATGTGAAATATACATGTTAAGCCACCTCTTTTCTTCCTGTTCCACGATCTCTTAAAAAAAATCTAAACTAAATGTAATGTCATTTCCAAAACGGTAAATATACAAGGGAAATATGTGCATTAAATTACGAAACAAAAAACTGACCTTTTAAATCTACTTTATCATTTCTAAAGCAAACCTAGTATAAACTATGTCCTCAATTCCATGTCAAGAAAAGTTACTGTATTTCACACTGAGAAGATGCAAATTAGCATTAATAATTCATCAAGTACAAAAAGGAAATTATAATCCTATTGTTGATTAGGTTATCTGAGCATAATATACTATTACAAAGTTTACATTTTTCAGTTTTCTCCTAGTAAAATAAATTGCTAGTTTTAGTTTTGATTAGGAACTCATACATCAAGCAGCCATGCTAAACACCAAATTAAAATTTCTTCCCAAAACACCTTGTTGCTTGAACAAAATTGAACTCTCTTCTCACTAGTTGGAACTGTGACAAAATACTGTTTCTTGGGTTTGATATACAGTGATGTATCACTTTTTAACTCACTTTACATGCAACTAAAACAGAATTTTAAATATTGGCAATGGTTGTTTGAAGGCTGAATAACTGTATCCACCAAATAAATCGCTCTCCAGTGGACAAGTGTTAACAAAACAAACCACGCTTTCCACTGGGTAGTGATTTATCTGGTGGATAGCTTTATCCACCTTTTGAACAACCCAGGCCTGGTGGACTGTTAAATTATACCAGGCAATGCTGAGTGGATAATTTATATACATTTCATTTCATGGGTGAGAATTTTTGAAATGAAATATCCACATACCAATCAACTCGACATTGGCGTAATGTTAATGCATCCTGGATCAGGTAAGATTCATCCTGCTTTAAACAAAGGAACCTGAGTAATCATTGTTCAAAATAGTCAACAAATACCAAAACTGTACATGTTAAGATCACCATACATGTAGATCTTTGAGCTGATAAGAAAAACTCAGTTGCTTTTCTAATCTACACTAATGATCAGAGCCTTTAAAACTACTTTGTAAATCTTCAAAATGAACTTTTTGCTAAATGTTCATGTAAAATGTTCTACCGCAGAGAAACATTTCCTATTTACAACAATTTACAAAAAGTAAGGTGTTGTGGTTCGCGGAGGTATCACCCTGTCACAGTCAGGTACAGCTTTGAAAAGCTTGGGTTCTCTTGTATCAGCATCTGAGAATGCCAAAATGGAAGCAATATTTCCACAGCGGTAACAATAGTTTGGAGCTGACCACACAGTGACTAGTGTCTCATCAAACATGTACTTGTATCCTTCATGGACCAACTGGTGGGCTCGGCATATCAGCTTCAAATTGTTGATGTGTACAAACTGGTCAAAGCAAAAAAGAATTTTTTTAA